CCCCTTCCCATTTAACTCTAATGGTCCTATGAGGAGGCCTCCCTATGTTCAGGAAGTACTCTTCTTAAGGCAAATGTTTTTATTATCTGAATGCGAGTGGCAATTTGTAGACTTTTACCTTCCGGTCAAACTGGCTGTTATAACAGTGGAAACACGAGGTGTTACAATTTTATTTTAAATAGCTGCGCGTTAGGCTCAACAAAAGTTCCCATTTTTGGGAACGAAGATAATTGCCTTGACCATGACCTCTGTCAGAACTTACAAACCACCATTTATGGCAACACCGCTCATGGCGAATTGCCTCGATTAGCCGAGGGGCATTACTAAGGCAACTTAATCGTCCCCCGAGGGCGATGCCTGCTCGCGCGAAGGCGTCACGATTCAAAAGCAGCTTTATCGTAATGCTTGCCAGAGTAGCATTTATGTCTTCTTAAATTATCACATCTTCCCTACTGCCTTTTTTTTAAGTCCAATCAACATTTGTAGACTTTTCCACCAGAACATTAAACCAAATAAATATTTTCCAACATAAGAGGGATGTTGAACGTCAGTAGCTGACTTTTTTGGCGCCAATTCGTCCTGCAATAATTAACGTTTTGTAGCCGTGTGAGACCAATACCAATTTTAAAATGTCTCCTTATAAATTAAAAATAACTATTTTTAGAACCCCTATTTCATTCTAAAATAATGTTCAATTTAAAGGCATAGTAGTAAGGCTATTTTGTGGAAGACCTGATAAACGATTTGTAATAAGGTGTTACGAAAGACCCAAAATCATTGCTATCCATATTAGTCCCTGAAGTTTTTCTGAATATTAAATCTCATTTTCAGAGAGACAAATAGCATTCAGCGATAATAGAGACGAATACTATCCAAAAAGCGTATCAGCTGTTATTTTCATTCGGAAAAATTGTACGGCACACTCAGAGTCTTATATGTTGGCCGTTTTGTTATATGTGCTTCCGTTTCCGTTGGCTTTTAGTGAGTTCCGGAGAAGAGATTAGCCTCACCAGACCCTGTCGCCTAGAACGTGTTTTTGGATGAGGACATATTTTGAGTGACCTTAGCAAAGCACAGATAATTGTTGGCCTAAATAGCATGCTCCATCCTTTGTGGATTGATTTAATCGCGCCTTTTACATAGGCAAATCTTGGTTCCAATCTAAAATCTAATATATGCTACCAGGTTTTCTCTAAAAACCCATTCCCTGAAACTTTTTAAAGCATCTGTTTAGACTGCCCTTATGATCGTTCAGTTTCTAGATTTGTAATTAACTATGACAGTTAAGAGTAGAATAATCGTTATTTATTTTAGTAAATGCGAAAACCATTAAGGAAGTTACTAAAGGCAGACTTGGAGGTAAAAGCCTGGAAAACATATTTAGGGCAAGTCCAGGCTTTTTCTTTAAACCAATTTCTTGAACTATCATTGATCTCCATCGAAACTTAAACAGTTAACTAAGGGAGCTGTGAAGCCTGCCTTTATATTCTCTTTAATTTTCGCGATTTGAAGTTAACTATCTCTGTCAGTTTATTTCAGCATATGTGCAAATAATTAAAAAAACTTATCAAAGACAGACTAACAATGTATCAGCCTTTAAAATACCTTTTTTAGGGCCAGACCCGATATTTTCCTAACCATTA